CTCCTCCCTCCCCTTTCTATATTCCCTCTCCTCCCTTCCCTTTCTATATTCCCCCTCCTCCCTCAAAATATTTCTAAAATAAAACTGTTGTGTAAACCTGGCTCAAGTTATCTGTACCTTATATGGAATAATTACATCATTAATTAAGAAAAGATAATTTTTTACAGATCTTAATTACTGTGTGTATATTTATATACACACTATATATACTAAACTGTTTATATATATATATACCCTATATATACTAAACTGTTTATATATCTATTTAATCATCTAACCGCCATTGTATATATATACACTATATATACTAAACTGTTTATATATATATATAATCATCTAACCGCTATTGTAGCATGAAGATCGGATTGCTGTGATCGCAGTTTTTTAATGAAATTATTGCATACAATTATTTATGCTAATTTTATGTTACATTTTTTTTAAAGACGTTCTATAAAGTGATCTTCGTGCTATGCTATACAGTTTAATTGATTCCCGAACTTTAAAAAATGGATTTTCCTAGAATAATTTTTTTGATATAACTGAAAATAAAATTTCAGTCAATCCTGTTTTTTTATTTCTGCTTATATTTCTAGAAATAATCATTGCATTGACAATAGTAAACCAATACCACAACATATTATTTTATTTTTATCTCGAAGGTTCTCACAAAAGTAATATATTTCTCTCGATACAGAGAAAATTTCTGTCAAAATCTTTTATAGACAACGTACTACAAAGCATAATAATATAGTCTTATAAATACTTATTACAAAAAAAGTTAATCAACGTAATTTTAAAAAAAAAATATTTTTTTTACAAAATTTTAGACGAGAAAATACCAAAGACGACCTTTTCAGAGTTAAAAGTAGAATGATATTTGCTAAAATTAGAACTGACAAGTAACATGCAGCGTGCTAAATTTCAAACCATATTTGCAAAAAATATGCAAACTTAATTTGCAATTATGAAAACAAGTTTTAGTTTAAACCTCGGATAAAGACATTTAGATTTATAAAGTCTTAGCTGGGAAGAAGAGAGGATTAATTTAAACGTAAATTCAAAAGAAAAATTTCTAAAATTCACATTTATTTTCTGAGCCACCGCGTACTGTAGTTTTGTCTAAAATTTGGACGGAGTTTGACTAACCCTTTCCTCACGCCCCACCGGTGTACATTTGAAATATCCGAGCCGGGCCAACCTTTGCAGTCCTACTAAAGCGGCAGAGTGTTTCCTTAATGTGATGTCATTTCTCATGTTTAAGTTTAATATATAGTAATATAGTAAAATTAAGTGTTTTGATAAAATTTCGGTTTAATTGATTAATAATGAAAAATACAAAATTGCATCCATTTTTAAAAATTGAATGCTGTGTTGAAAAAAGACGACTTCTTAGCTATCGCCATTCATTTGCACTTTTTGTTGGAGCTCCCAGTACGCATCCTTTTATTGATGGATGGGAAATGGAGTATGCATGATGTTCATGTTGAATTGTAGAAACAAAAAGTTTATTTTATCAGCTGTAAATCTGTTTTAGAATATTGTAAATCTTTCATTGCTTCGGGGCAAAATAAAATGCTTCTAACTTTTTTTTCTCAATTTTTTCAATGAAATGTTTAGAATTTGAAATATTTTGAGAACAATAACGAAAACAGGTTTTTTACTTAAAGAATATTTCCCCCTTGAATTTGCCTGTATAAGAACTATACAATGTCAGAACAAAATATATTTAAATCACACCCACCACTGCATCATGGGCGGTATACAATATTTTCCAAGGGAAGGAAATAATTTAATAAAGTGCACCTACCCTTTCCGGCCCCTTCTTCTGGAAACTAAAGGCTAGCCCAAACAATGTAAACAAAATCGCAATTTTTTTTCAAAGTTTTTGCATAATTTTTAAAAATTTGCAATTAAAAGGTCAAAGAAATTACAGAAAAAATCTTTTCTTTTTAATTTTGATATTTCTCATAACTTTTAGGATGAGGAGGAATAGTAAAGAAATTCCTTCATTAATTTCTTGCTTTATTATTTAGCAATTTGCAAATAGCAATAATTTATAATTATTTGCTTAAAGTTACATATTATAACTTTTCGTTAGCAAGAAAAGATTAAAAGTTACAAATGTGTTGCAATTTTTTTCAATATTCAGATTTGCAAGGATTGCAATAATTCACAAACGGTTTTAGTGGAAGGGGGGGGGGTTCACCATGATCCCGCCCCCAGGCGTTAGTCGGAATTGGGTTGATATAGTCACTTTTACTTTATAGAAACATCCAGAGGAATAAGCGATAGCAAGGTGCCGATTTATTATACAAGAAACGTGTTCAACATTGCTGAACCCAAACATTTGCACGACTAGAGTTTTTTTACATTACATTCTCAGNGTTCCAGGTTTCCATTCTGTAAACCAGTATAGGAAAATGAATTTGTGTAGTAAACTCAAAATTTCTTGTTTTTCATAAGACGTAGGCTGTAATTGTTTGTCCATAGGTTTCCACTCACCAGTGAATTGTATGGCGGACACCTCCCTGACACGGAAACACCTCCCCTTAAAGTTTTAACCATTTCAACATTTTAAACAAAGCATTGTTAAATCTTTAAAACTTATTAGATGCCATATATTAAAACGCAGTTAGCTTTTTGAATCTAATTTAATTTAATAAGTGATTTTATAAGTTATTATTTAAACTATAATATTGCTTTGTATCAACATCAAGCAGACTTAAGGTTTGTTATATATGTCGTCTTCCTTCCCACAGTTTTCTGTGCATGGAGGTTGACACCGGTTCTACTTATTTTTAAAACTTTTAAATATTTACATTTTCAGGAAATGCCATCTATATTCACAAATATTTTATTATATTTCATCAAGACTTTTTCACTATAGGTTTTCACTTTCCCCTTAATATCTTTTTAATATCTTTTGACAAATTATTTTTTATTTTTTAAGAGGCTCATTGGACATAATTCAACTTGAGGGATTCAGAAATCCTTCCTAAAGGTTTATAATTTAACTGGAGGAATTCAGATGTCTATCCAGGGGGTTAATTATTCCACTGGAGGGATTCAGATATTCATCCTGGTGGTTTATAATTCCACTGAAGGGATTCAGATATCCTTCATATGGGTTTAAAATTCCACTGGAGGGATTCAGATATTAATCTAGATTTATAAACCCCTGGAAAGATATCTGAATCCCTCCAGTGGAATTCAATCGTCTCTGAATTCTTATCCTTTGTGGGTAACCCTGTATATAGTCCTTGAATCGGGACTACAGTGGACTACAGGAGACTACTCTTGACTTCAGAGAGTAATGCATGAACTATTCAGACTCAGAGGGATACATTATAATTTACAGTCCTTGAATTGGGACTACATTAGGCTACATAGGGATACATTATAATATATAGTCCTTGAATTGGGACTGCAATGGGCTACATAGGGGACATGTAGTTGACTTAATATAGACTAACAGCATTTTTAACGCCAGGGGAGGCACATTTTTTTTGCCCTTCGCGCAAAAACGTGGTGGAGGGGAGGGATTGACACCCATGCTTTATCACAAGAGATTTGAAAACTTTTTTCATTCTGAAAACGTTGCTTTTGTAAACCTTCATCTTCAAAATATTATTTAAATCGATTGTTTTTTGGCAATCCTTTTTTTAGATCTAAAAGTTCTTTTATTTACCCCCATGATTTTTCGAAAACAATTTTTACATCTCATTTTTAATAATTTTAGTTTGTATATTCCTAATCTTTCTGCAAGCAGATTTCATACATTTTAAAACAATAAGAACAAAACTGAAAAAATTTTCCTTTTTTATTTTCGAAATTTTTCTGATCGGCAATAAACTGGCTAAAACTTTATTTGGTCATGTGATTATGTGAGTTACCACAAAAAAGAGCTTGGCCTGGTCGGTTTTGCGTTTCTCAGATAAGATACTGTGACCTTGACACGAAATTGGCATTGAACATCAGTTTTTTGAACTACAAATTTGGGAATTTTTTTATGGGAAAATCGGAAAACAATAAAAAATGGCGTGTTGAAATAAAAAGTTAAAAGATAATGTTGTTTCTTGCAAAAGTTGTAAGAATGCCACACATTGTTTTTGCGATCTAAATTGTGCGTCCTCGTGATTTTCTTAATGCTCCCACACGATTTCATCAGATAGTTGTTATTGGCTGTTGTTGCCTTTTTATTTCAACTCCATTTACATATTCCTTTATTCCGGGTTTCTAAGCCTCAATGCATATATTTCAGTCAGGCTGGGCGTCAGAGAAAGGTATTTATTCAAGAAACAAACGGGATTTCTCTTCTAGGATACCGTCGATCTGAAAAAGAAACTAGCATTAAAACGCTTTCTTGAAATGTTGGAAAGATTAAAAAAATTCACTACGGTGGAAAGAACGATAATTGGTTGAAAAAAACGCTCCTAGTTGAAGTTAAAAATCAATTCATTCTGAATAATTTTCAAATTCAATGAGTATTGAAAATTATCAAGGTGCAAACATTTCGGGGACGGAGAAAGTGGGAGGAAGGATTCGGAAGCTAAAAAGAGGGGCATGTGAAGAAACCTATTTCTAGATACTGAATAATTACAAGCTTACTTTTCCTCTGTACAGTCAACACATAGATTAAAATGATGGGGAGAATAGATATAAAGGATGAGTACAATATGGTGTACATGATATTCTTCTATCTCTCGGTTGGGATGCTTCTACCATGGAATTTCTTTATTAACGTCAACGGTTATTGGATGTTCAAATTTAGAACTGTCAACGAAACCATAGAGGGAAACAATACAGGTAGATTCGTGCATAGGTTAATCATAGGTAAATTATTTGATAGATTAGTATATTAGTAAATAGGTAGATTAGTAACTAAGCTAGGTAGATTAAAAAATAGGTAGATTAGTAAATAGGTAGATAAGTAAATAAGTCGATAAGTAAATAAGTAGATTAGTAAATATGTAGATTAGTAAATAGATAGATTAGTAACTAGGTATATTAGAAAAAGGTAAATTAGCGAATAGGTGCATTAGTAAATAGGTAGATTAGGGCCTAGGTAGATTAGTAAATATTTAAGTTAGTAAATAGTTATATTAGTAAAAAGGTAAATCAGTAAATAGGTAGATTAGTAACTAGGTAGATTAGTAAATAGGTAGATTAGTAAATAGTCAGATTTGTAAATAGGTAAATTAGTAAATAGGTTGATTTTTAAATAAGTAGATTCGTAAATAGGTATATTAATAAATAGGTAGAATAGAAAAAAGGTAGAATAGCAAATAGGTAGATTAGTAAATAGGTAGATTAGTAAATAGGTAGATTAGTAAATAGGTAGATTCGTAAATAGGCATTTTAGTAAATAGTTAGATTAGTCAATAGCTATTTTTGTAAATAGTTAGATTAGTAAATGGGTGAATTAGTAAAAAGGTGGATTAGTAAATAGTTAGATTAGTAAATAGGTATTTTAGTAAATAGTTAGATTAGTAATGGGTGAATTAGTAAAAAGGTAGATTAGAACATTAGTAAATTAGTAAATAAGTAGATTAGTAAATAGGTAGATAAATAAAAAGGTAGATTAGTAAATAGTTGGATTAATAGGTATATTAGTAGTATCGTATCTTGTTTGTAATTGTAAGTGGATTCAAAGGTAGAATAGCAAATTGGTAGATTAGTGAATATTCAGATTAGTAAATAGGTAGATTAGTAAATAGGTAGATTGGTAAATAGGTGGATTAATATAACATTAGTAATATCGTATCTTTAAAGGAAGATTGTAATTTGTAAGTAACAGGATTCAAAGGTTGAATAGTAAATAGGTAGATTGGTAAATAGGTGGATTAATATAAAATTAGTAATATCGTATCTTTAAAGGAAGGTTGTAATTTGTAAGTAAAAGGATTCAAAGGTTGAGTAGTAAATAGATAAATTAGTAAATATGTAGATTAGTAAAAAGGTAGATTGGTAAATAGGTGGATTAATATAAAATTAGTAATATCGTATCTTTACAGGAAGATTGTAATTTGTAAGTAAGTGGATTCAAAGGTATATTAATAGACAAATTATACTTAACATTGGTAAATTAACAGGTAGACCTAGATAATTATTAAATCATTGATTATTTCCAATTAAAAATCTGTAATTTAAGATTTATATTTATGTGTAGATATTGGTCCAGGTAAGCTGAATGACCGCCAGCTTGAGTTCACTGCAGATCTAGCTTTAGCTGCCATGCTTCCTAATGTTATGTTTCTCATTGTTAACGGTTTGATAGGACATAGACTGAGAATTATTCCCAGGTACTTTCACAAATTCTTTTTGTATAATCATTTGTTTTTTAAATTTATTCTATTGAGGTTGATTTTTTCCCTGATTGGAGTGGTTATATTATTCATGGTTACGACTGGTAAGAAGTTTTTTAAGTTTTGGACCATTTAAATCTGATAACTCTTATTCTCGATTCATATTTGTATCCCTTGTCTTAAATCATAGCAAATCTAAGCCATTTCCAAATTAATTTCGTCTTCGTTGAAAGTTTAGTTTGTATATTCA